CGCAATCGCTATGATTTCTGAAGGAGTTGGGATGGCTTGAAGCTGCATAATCAGATCAGTTGAACATCGAAAAGGATGGAAAGAGCCAATGGTTTCCACTGTAGCCGGATTGATGAGCGGGTTTCCTGTTCCCAATAAGTCTTCAAAGTATTGAACAGCCAGCTGCTTGTACTGTGACGGGTCAGTGATTTTCCTATCATTTCCATCTCTTAGATAAAAAATCTTGTTCATAGCCTGTTTGCCAAGATAGACTTGTGGAAAAAACTAGTGTTAGAGTCACCTTCGGAGAGCCATTGGATGCGAGACCTTTGGTGGAAGAACTGTTCCTCGGCATTTGAGTAAATTGTATATATCCTTCTAGCTTCAGACTCTTGATCAGTAAGATGTTGAGAGGGGGTAAGGAGTAGTTGCGCTTGTATAGCTTGCAAGGCAGAGAAAGAAGCTTTTACTCGTTGTTGAATGTTGCTGTAATGTCTTCGGTTCAGGAGCTTGAGACAATTCTTTGCGGAAACCATCTTCTTTGATAAGATGAATTGAGCCGTTCCAAAGAGCCCTGGCATTGACCAAGCCTCATCAAGCAGTAATAAGTAATCAGGGTGAGTCATTACGTGTCGGTAGAATTTGAAAGGCTTCTTTGTTGAAGGAACATCGAAGCCAAGGTTGATGACACATGGAGAGTGGTTAGAGGAGCCAGGCGGGTCGAAGAAAGCAACTGAAGAAGGGAAGTATGTACTCCAAACCTCATTTATCATGACTATCGAGCTTTCGAAGGGTAGGATTCTCAGGGCAGTTGTTTTTCCAAGTGTAAAGAGCACCTCGGACACTAATATCTTGAATATCAAGGTATTCTAAACAACTTCGCATCTCCTGCATGCCGGTAGTAGGGGCGAGAGTTTGGGGAATTGACGAGTACTCGTATTGACTAAGGATTTGGTTAAGTCTCCAGCAAGGATCCATGGACGGGAAGAGGTGGGGGAAGAGCCTCTAAGATCAGCAAGCTCTTGCCAAAGTAGATGACAATTGAAAGCGTAGATGAATGAAACAGTGAAGTAGTGTTGCAATTGAGGAACAAAAACACCACACATGATCATCTGATCAGATTTGTGGTAAATTACAACAGAGAGGGAAGGGTCCCAAAAGACGAGAATACGACCTGATTCATTGGCAATGAAGTTATCTTCTGAACGCCATGGAGGAAGACGATTGATAAACGTAGAATCCGATTCTTTCTTGATATGAGTTTCAAAAAGAGCCCCCATAAGAGGCCTATAGTCTTTACAAATGAGTTTTGTAAAGTAATGATTTTAATTTTGAGGGCCAAATAATATAGTGTTTATATTAAACCTATATAATTAGAAACATTTTTTTTTGTTAAAAGGCCTTCACTAAATAAAAAAAAATTTAAAAAATGTCACTATTTCAAAAAATAAATTTTATTATATCATTTTGGGTTAACTATGTTGTTTTAGGGTTTAGTTTTGAGGGTTTTAGGGTCAAAATATTTTTTAAGATTTATAATTTTAAGATTTAGGTTTTAAAAATCCATAATTAGTGGCATTTTTGCAAATAGACACACTCCTAAGTGGCATTCTTGCAAATGTACACACCAAAAATGGCATTTTTGTAATTTTCCAATAAATAAGATAGATGACATTAAAAAAAAGCATAACAAAAGAACACTAAGTGCCCAGCCAAATGTCGAGGAGCTCATCACCAATTGGGCTACCTAGCTTTCTCATAGCCGAAACCTTTTTCATGGCCATAGAAATTGTTCTACGCAGAATAAGAACAATATAAAGCTTAGTTACTCCATTGTGAACTCGTCTATTCCTCTCCTTCCAAATTTCATATAATTAGAAACTTTCGAAAAGAAAGTAAGGAAATGTGAAGTTTTAGTAAAAATATAGTTTTATTTTAGAGAAATTAACATGTATATTAGGTTTATTACCTATAATTGATTATTTAACATTGGCTAAAACATATTTAGGTGTCTAACATTAAACACACTTAAAATTCCAATTTTACCCTTTCGAAATTCTATAATTTTTAACATTCAAATAAAATAAAATAAAACAAATTTTCTTTCTTTTGACAAAAAAAAAAAAACAAATTTTTTTTCTAACCCTAAAATCAATAGTCGC